TCTCTGTCTCTCTCTCTCTCTCTCTCTCTCTCTCTCTCTCTCTCTCTCTCTCACTCTCTCTCGCTCTCTCTCTCGCTCTCTCTCTCTCTCTCTCTCTCTCGCACGCATGGACCGTCCGCTTCCACACTCGTTATGGAAGTCAGCATGAAATAGAAGTTTCTTAATGTCAAAATGTGACTTGCTCCACCTCTGAAAGAACATTTCTTCTGACGCTGAGTGTTAACCAGCAGTCAAACAGCTAGTTAGTCATTGTTTAGGTCCGGAAGCCGAACCCCTTTTAACTAAAATATTTTAACTATAAAACCTCCCTGCAGTTTTAAGTTAATATTTCAATTATTTAACAACACATTTACTTGAATTTAAATGCCTATACGTAAATATTTAATGTTTTTTATTTTGATTATTATTTTTTAATTATTATTATTTGACATTTTTATGATTTAATTAATTTTTAGTACTTTTTATTTTGATTAGTATTTAATTTAAAGTGATTTTATTTATTTTAATTTAACATTTTAAATATTATTTTATTTCTTTTATTTGTTATTTGTTTTAATTTTATATTTTTGATGGTTAAATGGTTTTATTTTGTTTTTATTTTAACATTTTAAAATGTGACATTTTTATAATTTGTATTAAGTGTTATTTTGATTTGGTTTTATTTTAAAATGTATTCATTTTAGTTTTATTTAATCATGAGTTTATTTTTGATTCATTTTTTATTGTTTTTTAAATAATTATTTTAAAATATCTTTTATTTTATTTTTACATTTTTATTATTTAATTAATTATTGGTTAGCTTTATTTTGATTTGTTTTTATTTTTAAATTATGTATAGCTCACAAACCCCAGTTTAGACTACAGTTAGTGCTGTAATTTAATGCTGGTTAATGTAAATATTGACGTATAAGTCTGCATGAAACCACGTTCATAGCATATTTAACTTCTGTAAAGTGAGATATCTCCTAAATCAAACAAGATGATCAGGCATAAATGCTGTCAGGCTCCGTTCCTTATGAAGATTTTCTCTGTATCTGTTCATGAGAGAGCGTGCGCGAGAGAGAGCGTGCGCGAGAGAGAGCGTGCGCGAGAGAGAGCGTGAGAGAGCGTGCGCGTGAGAGCGTGCGCGTGAGAGAGAGCGTGCGCGAGAGAGAGCGTGCGCGAGAGAGAGCGTGCGCGAGAGAGAGCGTGCGCGAGAGAGAGCGTGCGCGAGAGAGAGCGTGCGCGAGAGAGAGCGTGCGCGAGAGAGAGCGTGCGCGAGAGAGAGCGTGCGCGAGAGAGAGCGTGCGCGAGAGAGAGCGTGCGCGAGAGAGAGCGTGCGCGAGAGAGAGCGTGCGCGAGAGAGAGCGTGCGCGAGAGAGAGCGTGCGCGAGAGAGAGCGTGCGCGAGAGAGAGCGTGCGCGAGAGAGAGCGTGCGCGAGAGAGAGCGTGCGCGAGAGAGAGCGTGCGCGTGAGAGAGCGTGCGCGTGAGAGAGCGTGCGCGAGAGAGAGCGTGCGCGAGAGAGAGCGTGCGCGTGAGAGAGCGTGCGCGTGAGAGAGCGTGCGCGAGAGAGAGCGTGCGCGTGCGCGTGAGAGAGCGTGCGCGAGAGAGAGCGTGCGCGAGAGAGAGCGTGCGCGTGCGCGTGCGAGAGCGTGCGCG